ATATAAGATTCACCATTTAGTCATGCCACATTTCACTGTGGTATAATGCTTGGAAATCGTTCCACATTATTACCTAAATTTGCGTTTTCATAAAAATTTACAAATTTACATTCAACGAAAAATTAACTTCTCATAAGAAGACCATTTCTGGTTTATAGCTGCGTCAACAAACAAAATTTTCGCTACTGGGGTAAATCAAATCATCGAGAAGTTTAGAAAATGCAATTACATCCCCAAAGATTTACCGTTTGCTGCGGATTATAGATAACGGCATTATCGGGTCTTATCTCTTTCGAAATGWGACAAGAAATGTCGTTGTTACCATCAATAGCCATTTTAATAAGGTGTTGACCGTCTTTTTTACCCGGAATTCGATGAAATCGACACGGATGATCTCTACTTACGATGCGTTGCCGTTTCACATCTAAACATGGACACTTTACGTGCAAAGTTTGCCGACTTATTAATTTCGAGAAATGGCTCAAATAAATGTCCGCTAAGATCAAGCGATTTCATGCCTCTAAATTGTTGTTTTTTCTTCCCCAATTGTAGAGCAATTGATAGAAATTTTCACCAACAATTGCTCAGTTATTGCACAAATTATTATAAAGCTTTGTAGGTTCCTCCACATATTTCTAAACAACAAATGCTTTACAAATTGCGACGGTCATAATGTTCGGCTGTAATCTGTCATATCACTTACTTAAACCAAAAATATAATTAGAATATATTTGTTATTAGCAAATCATTTCAAATTTTGCTTATGATATCAAAAACAGAAATTAACACTGAACGCATACATACCATACATACGTTTAAGTACGGTTATAATTGTTCAGTTATGCCAAAACATATATTATTATAAAAAACGATGCCATTAACAATTTATGTAGTGAAAAATTGAACATTTTCGTTGCATGTCGCCCACGTTTTTTATTCGYAAGCAAATATGTACATATGTATGCAAGTAAGTAGGTAGTTCCCAATGAACACGTTCAATTAAATCGTTTAATTTGAGGTCAAAAGGTGGTATTTCAGAACAACAATTTCTTGTGTGCAGAGATGATATGCGTAAATATGTAAAGCAGCAAACATGTGAAATAACAGTATACAAGTACATATGGACAGAAATGGCGGAGGGCAAATACATCACTATAATTTTAATTTGCAATGCTCCGTACAWACATACATAWAYATATACATCATRCAAATGCACACTTGATCAAAGGTAAGGACTTATAGCGGTTTTTTGTCAAAGGGTTTGAAGCTTATCGTTTATTGAAGTGAATAAAATATTGATTTAYCGGCGCACTGATTTTATTAAAGGCTTTGATTTCGTTTGCAAATATAGATTAACCACATAAATGATTCGCCTTCTTGCATACAATTTCAAAAAAAAATAAATAAAAAAAGGCAACGTTAATTTCGATTGCGCCGAAGGTAGAATACCCTACAGAAATGGAAAAAAAATTATATATACAAGCATTTGATGCCAATCGTTCAGTTTATATGTATGGCAGCTAAATGCTGCTCCGTTATTGGCGATTCCGTAAAATAAAGCTGTCTCTTATACACATCTAGATGTGTATAAGAGACAGTCCTTTATACTACGATTTGTTCTGTTCATCAAACACCACATCTTCATTCGATGAACATTTCTTCCCAGCAAGTACTCTTTTGAGAACAATCGCTGGGGGGCGGACCTGGAAAATACGGTGGATGCGAAAGCAATTTGAAGCCCACTTTATTTTATTTTTTTTTTTTTCGACATTATTTTTACTAATTTGTGACACGGTATATTGTCTTGGTGACACAGCGATTTCTTTTGCTTCAAATGCGGCCATATTTCGGCGATTTCGTCCCTCAAACGGTTCAATAACACTATGTAATAGTCAATGTTTTTAGTCGTTACTTTTTCAAAGTAGTCACTAAAAATTATTCTATGCGCATCTCAAAATGTAGACGCCATAACCTTAAGAGGCGATTGGTGCGTTTTGGAGCGGGTTCATCGTACACAGTCCACTCCGATGACTGTAGATTGGACATCGGAAAACGATGAAAATGAAATTTGTTTTTGTTCAAAAGTGTGTTCGCGCAACACCCACTTTGCAGGGAGCTTTCTCATACCCAAACATTTGTGAATGATATGATGTACATTTTAAGTTGATTTTACGATCATTCCAAATTATTTTGAAAACTTTTTCGATGTTCTCGTCGGTAACAAAAAATGGACATGGCTAAATCGACTCAGCGAGTTACGTTGGCCTCCGACGTTTCCTACGCAAACTTCGTGGCGAAGTTAACATACAGTGTTCAGTGTATAAATTTTTTACAAATATTTTTTCTGCAGTGCAATATAATACTAAAACACATTTTTTCAGTACAACTATGTAGGTATGAGTGGTGGAGACAAGAGTACAAAAAGTATGAATTTCTTTCTGCAAAATTTTTTAAAGATAATCGGTATTCAATATTTGATAAATGGTTACATATTAAAATAGCTGTAATACGCTGAAGTTAATGAAATTAATTGAAGTTATTCACAAGAATATATTCTGCTAAAAAAAGCCTTAACTACCAATAAAAACTAGAATATGTCAAGTTTTACACGAATGTATAAGGTTAAGTACGCACTTTTCTTAACTTAAAAGTTATGCTAATGTAGGTATTACCGTAAGATATGAAATTATGACATTAATTTTTTTTTTAACTTTAAATGCAAATTCCGCAAAAATCATAATCACAAAAACAATTATCCATGTATACCAAATTTAATTTGTTGAAATTCTAAAGTCCAACCCTATACACAGTTCTAATCTCTTAAATAATAAGAAGAGGAAGCTGAAGTTTATCTTAACATAATTACATTCATACATATTGCATATGTGTATGTAAGTGTTCTTTATCTGCAGATCCTCCTCTATCAGTACATACCAATTTTAACCCAGAATTCACCATCAAACTGTTTTCGTATGAAGCTCACTACTCCTTTCTTAGAAGATTGGTCAGTGAATGTAGGTTGTAAGGGTATGGTATGTGGTATCATTTGGCACTAAGAAAGAAATAGCTCAGTAATACAGTTTTTGGACTTCATACATACATATAGTGGCATATAGAACTTTTTTCGTAATTAGTGGCGGTGAAATCCCTTTGAGTATCATACGAAGGAAGCCCTTTTTTGCTTAAGACAGAGAAACTTACTTCAGTCCTTGGCCGGATAAMATCCGAGTCRTRGGATCTGATRTACAGAAATAAGAAGAAAGAACCTATTCAAGTTATGTCTTTAAATTTAACATATTAAAATTTAAATTCTACAAGGGCCGAAATAAGCACAATATGCAATGGTCAAAAACAATCAAATTCAACTTTTTCCTGGTAAAGATTTTTTATATACAAAATTCAACCAAGGTCGGAATCACTGCAGCAGTATATCACCATTTTTTGTCGCCGTRGGAGTTCGCTTCTAAAAATACATATTTAATATTTTTTCATTTCCCTATATATTCTTAAACTACATATGTATAAATAAGTGTATTTTTAATTTAAAAGAAGTATTTTATTTTTGTAATTCCTAGGTGTGCCTCTTAAGAGGCTATAGACGTCTAGAAGTCACAACAATATTGCGAGGCATAATTAACGATTCTATGAACGATTTCTAACCTCTATTAAAGCATAATTAATTGTAGGTAAAAATAATATATATTCTCATTTATTTTAACTACACTTTGGCTCTTTAGTCTAATTATTATTAATTTATTAATTTTTTTTCTTTCTAGTAATAAATAATGCACTTGAATACATTGGCAAATTTTGGAGCAAACGAAAGCGCAACAATTTTTAGGGTACATGCAAGAAAGATTGTAGGAATATATTAAATTACTTAAGCGTTTTAACTCCATCACTTCTACATTTAATAGCAGACACATCACTATTCGCCATATATATCCAGATAAGAAATACGTATCTACATATGTGTGTATATAGGCTCTTGAAATCACATTAACATTTTTTCATATATTAAATGTTAATTTTCTAGCTTCACACGTCTTATTTGAATTAACACTTGAAGGAATATTTAGAAATTATATACATATGTAGCTGCTGTTACAACAGCCGAAAAGTTCAGAGGGCAAATACAAAATACCAAACACACATSCACAAACACTTCCATTTGTTTTCATGATTTTTTTTTAACATAACAATAGCAGTACACTGCTAACTCCGAACGTCGGCTGCGACGTCGACTGTAGTATTACAACGGTCGCTGTTCTAATCTACACTCTGTCGTAATGCAAGAAGCTGCCAAACCGCTTTCCGCACATAATACACTTGCACGCACACAGATATTTAATATTGTGCCYGTGTGTACCAAAACAAATTTACAATAATAATAAAAACACACACACGTACAGAAGGCCACACACAAAATGTCATRTGTAATTCACGTAAACATAATTTTATTCTTTCATTACTTCTTATTCTTCGCCTTCAGATTTCTCGCGGAGAATTTCTGTTGCGCTTTGTTTGCTGTTTCTGTGGTCATTTGCTGACGCGACGCTGCGTCATAGTTCAGCTTCCACTTTAAAAAACCTGATTTKCTGTTATGTACTTGTATTCACTACTTCTACACACTAACATCACTTTCCATAAGAAAGAGTTTCGGCGATTTTTAATTTTTCATACATACCTGCATTCGCATACATATGTATGTGTGTATTTGAATCTATAACTGTGTGTGATGTCGCTACGTATGCATATGTATAATCCGTTTTAAATCCACCTTGTGACCTTTTTATGAACTTATTTTTTTTATTTCTACTTTGAAACTCTTCTAGTGARTTTAGTTTCACATTCGACAATTATTTGACTTCACAACACTTCGTAGTTACTTAAAGCATCACTAAACCACTGATCAAAAATTCTGATTGAATAAATAAATAGGAAGCGAAGACATACACTAACATATCTCTTGGTTGTTAGCAAATAAGATTAACACATACCTTTAATACAACTAACTTCAAACTTCTACGACAGCGAATAAGCAGCAAAATGCAGAATAAACCGCACGTAAAATACTACACATCCACGATTTGTGCTGCCGCTGCGACTGTTAACACTAACCGCGCTGCCGACGCTATTTCAGCTCTGTCGCTGTTCACTCCAAGAATTTCGCTCTTGCTGGTATTATTATTTACCACTGCAACGTTGTCGTTGACTTCGCAGTACACTTCACGTTCACGTTCTAAAATGCCGACACTTCACTCTAAACGACGGCAGAACAAAAGCCAAGCTATCACTACACCCGCACGAAAACACGTTTTAACTCTATGAGCGACGGCGTTTAACTGTTGGTGCATTTTCCTACAGCCCTAATCGTAGGCAACAGACTCGCTCGCAAGTTTTGTGTTTGCATTCAACAGGGTTTTGTGCGACTACAGAAAAAGGTAGTGTCAAAAATTTAATTTTTAGTTGAACCATTAAGATGAAAGCAAATAATGCATTACTGAGAAAAAATCACTTAAAACAAAAACGGTTGTGATAATAAATAGACTATGATGCTTTTTTATTTTTACAAAAAACGAAATACAGATTTCATAACTATGAAATCCTCTTAGTACTAATGCGCTAAGTAATGTTTGAGTAGGTTATGGACAACATTATCCGCTTCATAGAGTAAGGTATGTAGAAAATGTAAACTCTTTCACTATGAATGCTCAATGGGCTGTTTAAAACAGTACAAATGATTTCAACATGATTTTCTACAACAAATTGCAAAAGAATTTATAACGAGAGCTACACAGAGCTTAAGAACACCGTAATTCTTAACAAAGTTAATTTTCTTTCGATTGATGTAAAGACCTAAATTCATTGGAGAATATGTATTTGTTAAATAAAAACCGTCACGAATATAAAATGCTCTTTCAATCATCAGCTCTTTGAGTACCATCTAGCTCATCAATACATAATTTGCTCGTTTTTATTATCAATGTATTCAATCTTCCCATAATTTTTTCTTTGATCTTATATATGTATTTGAATTGTTTAGTTATGGGAAAAGTAGTAGCAAATGTAGTAGTAAAWGTACTTTGCTGAAAAAATTACTCGCCAACACTGTCTCTTCAATTTACACTTTTTCTCTCTCTCTCTCTGAGAAAAGTATAATTGTGGTCTTTCTTTCATTTTTCTTGCTACTCAAAAGACGCTCTTTCGTGACTCTCTACCTGTTGCATTTTGTTTATTTACCAATTTAACAATGTAGTGGTGATGTAAGCAACTCCTTAGCGGCGACTTTATAGAGCAGACAAAATAATACAGTGATGCAATTCTTGATGTTAATTGAATAATTAAATTAATTAYTTAGACTTATTATTATTCTCTCACATAGCAATCAAACTTTTCGCCGTATAAGAGTCTTGCCCAAAGATGAAGGCACTTTTAATGGATTGCAAGGGTTTCGTCGGGTAAAAAAGAAWATTTTTTCAACAATTTTTTCTTATATAAAAGRAATATTGTTTTTAGATTTTTTTATTGTTACAAACATACACTATGTATTCACAAAGAAATCCTGTAGTTTTTTGGTAAAAAAAAAATGTTTAAACTTGGAAATTGCGGCGCATAAGTTCTTAATGTTTGATCTCCGAAACTATTACTCGCATTAACTTGAAATTTTAATTAAAAAATAATCGATTTTTTGAAATCCGTAAACCCATATAACCCCTTGAAAAACAGAATAAAGCCATTTTCGATCATTAATATTTGTTTTTGTKYTCTAATCCCGAAAAAGTAAAGTGATTTAAAATACACCGTAAAGTTTTGTAAGAAAATGGAAAGMTTTCGAGTTGCACTTGATTTCCGTGGATGTTAAAACATTGTTCACGATTCTTGCAGAGATTTTCTCCTTCTCTATGGGTGAAAAATAGCCAAAAACCTTTCTACTAAAAAATATTTTGCCTATGTCCTATGCTAAAAGAAAAAATTGGATAATGAAAAGATGACGGCGTTTAARAAAAGAAAAGTTTTACCGAAAATTTCAGTTAAAAAAACTGGCAACTCAATATACTTACATATATAGGAAAATTTACACAATATATAAAAATAAATGTTAGTGAATGAGTCATTTCACTCAAYCAAATTTATTTTTGAGAAAAAACGCGTTTAAAGATAAACTGAGCAGCTAGTTTAGAAGGCTGTAACTCCAAAAGCTATTTGAGATATCGAAACAAATTTCTGGTGTCGAAACGGTCAGAATKTTGGAAAAGCCATTCGGTGCTAATTGTTAATCACGAACAAGTGTTTTTGATTGGATCAAATTATTCAAAGTGGGTCGAGAAAGCGTTGGCGACGAACCCAGTCCAAGACGTATATCAAAATCAGCGAATGATCAACACGTCAATAAAATAAAGCATTTAGTGCTTGAGAATCGRATACCTACTGGCAYCGTTGGAATATCGGAGGGATCAGTAAAAACCATTTTGAAAGATCATTTGGGTCTAACAAAAGTAAAAGCACGATTATTTCCAAAATCACTAATTTTTTTCGAAAAATARTGTCGCATTAAATTCTGTGAAACAATGCTTTCCGATTACCATGAGGTAGTGAAACTTACTATTAATGGCGATGAGTCTTGGATCTAAGCATATGATCCGGAAACGGACGATGAACCGGCCGAATAAGGTGGCAAAAGTGAGCAGAAGCTGAAAAAAACCACTCAAATMAGATCAAAAATCAAGGTTATGTTAACAGTTTTCTTCCATTATCGAGGTGTGGCGCACACTGAGTTCCATCMGACCAGCCGGAYAASAAAGAATACTATTTGAGTGTTATGGGTCKTTTCTGTGAARATATTTGTAAAAATGGGCAGTAATTATGCCCCGACAACTCTTTGGTTTTGCAGAGCATAATACACATTACTTTSAGAGGGACGACAYATGTAGATATTTTGAAGAATTATWTAAGTGTGARTTTTAAAATTATGAGCAAAGTCTTACTATTTTTTGCCCACAGTAATATATTTATATAAAAAATAGGCACAAATGAAGTATACTGTCGTCTACATGCTAGCATACGCTGACATGGTACAAAAATAGGTCTGTCTTTGAAATAAAATGGCCTGATTTTTAATTATATTTGACTATCACGCCAATATTATATACTTTKTTAATTCCATTGCGCCAATGACCGGTAAATAAATCTAAATCTGGTATCTAAATCAAGCTGTCGACATATTTCTAAATACCTGCAAGTCACAAGCACAACAATGCAAGATAAAGATAATAATAACAGAAAAATGGAAAAGCTGCAGCTCAACAAGCACACAAATTTCAATGTAATATGTATACAAATAAATTCTATGCAAATTGTTGATTTAACCTTTCATTTACAAAATCTCTTCGCATTAAGTAATCGAATAAAATAATGAATTYACATGACGCAATTGGTGCAATTGGTGCAATAATCGCATATGAATGGCTGCAGAGTTTGCTAGGCTTCCTCATGCCAAAAACCCAGCATGAGCGTGCGTTTTATGTTTGTAGGCATGCCAATCAACGGCAAATATTCTATCAGMGCAATATGTGTAATCAATTGGGCACATATAGATTTACCCAGACGCACAGCTGGTAGCCTACTAACGAAATATACATATATGTTCGTGTGTGTGCATGTGCATACCCAGAAAGAAATGTGATACCAAACGCTGCATACGGCTATATATACACATACATTTAGTTGTACTATATGCTTATAAGTTGTTGCTAACGTCAATACTTATTGATGTATATTTGTATGTTAGCTGGCATATTAGACATATTTAATATTTATATACCATAGATACATATGTTTGTGTRTGTTTGCTTGTGTGCTTATATGTGAAAATGCAAACTCGCCAGCTTCTGCTCATTTGCKCATCAGGCACGCCTAATTTGTAGGCACACAGCGAATCACGAACACACACTCGCCAACACTTGSAGTCATTGAGTACGTACAGGGCGTATGAGTTACGTGCTGCTACTCGAAATGTCATTAGAGGGTAGCGATCAAAAGTGTTTGGCAGCAGGTGTGAACAATGCGGTTATAGCGTATAACACTTTGTGCAAATGAATTTCATATAGAGTAGTTATGTTTCGTAGCGTGTGTGTGCGTGTGTGTATTATGCCTACAGTTACACATACCTATAAAGTGTAGACACGCTGACATCCTGTTGCGCTGCACACAAGTGTAGTTTATTTTTACAATAATTGCGTTGACAATGCAGCTTGAAGTATCTTATCACCGTCAACTTCTGGAATATTTTACATATATAACCCAAATTTTCGCTTTCTGCCACTTATTTGCCACTTCAATGGTGGTTCTACATTTCGGGGACGTACATATGTAGATGTTTGAAAATCGTAATTTATTCACTAACAAATATAGATATGATAAAATTTAATGTAAAAAATGAATAAGAGCATTTCCAATATTCGTATCACTATTTATCGTTTAGCTGTAGAATGCAGATATTTGTGAAATATACGCACAAAAAAAAAATTCATTTCAGCTGCTTTCGATAAATCAGTTTTTATGACAGCTATACTCTATACTGGTTCGATCTGAACAGTTTGTAAAATGAAAAATATCCATACAAGCAACTGATCAAGATCGGACATATAGCAGTCCAATATCGGTGGTTGCGTCAAATAAGCAGTTCTTGTGAAAAAAAAACTTGTGCAATATTTTAGAACGATATCTCAAAAACGGATATCCTTTATATGGCCTAAGAAGCTGCTTCCAMAGCATATACTTTGTTAAAGGTATAAGAAGATTTTTCCGATAATAATAATATCTATGGACTAGCCAAACTCCTTTCCCACTGTATCGATTAGTGTGTGTATATATCCTCCTTTTTCATTTTAATGACAATAAATGGCTCAAGGAGCGATTTTCGAAGCGGATATTAGAGTTSTTTAAACGGCTACACCAGTGTGACACTTTAAAAACGAAATCCGATAGATTATATTTTCAAAAATTTCCTGTCAAATAGGCAAGGTCGTATCTACAATAGTTTTCGGATGGCGGCATATTAACAAATTTTTCTCGAAACGACATTTTTCAAAATTGAGATAACGTAATGAAGCTTGATACGTGGGTTCCTTGCCTAAAAAGTAAGAATACATTTTTCGGAAGCTTCTATACCCAATTAAACCTAATTCGGCATATAATATGCAGCGTTCGTCCGGAAGTAATAGAGCTGAGTCGATTGCATGCTGCATGAATCCAATCAGTCGTCACAAAATGCTTGCCTTTCTGGTCATCAGTGAGCACTTTTGGGACCATCTTCACGCACACC